GTGTAGAGTCACAAAGCAGTTCAGAGTTAAATCTAATTCAGAATTCATGCGAAACATTTTCTAACCAATAGATTTATCAGAATTCTCATGCTATTGTACCAGGTATGGTTTTTCCTAATGATTCACATATTTCTGATGAAATTCCTTGCAAATCTGAAGAAAATATGTTGAGTGAACATAATTATGATAGAAAACATGATGTAGTTTGGATAGATGCTAATTTTTCTAATAATCTATTACTGTGCAATGATATTCCTAATAAATTCCATGAAAATGTGTCCGAAGAATTGAATTCTGATGTCATATCATATATTACCTATCTTCATAATGCATTTGATTCTTGTGAAAAACCTGTTTAATGCAAAGCACAAGTACTAAATCACCTCGATTTTGATGACAATCCGGATGACTTCACATCAACTGCTGTTTACCCTTATCACAAAACAGTTCTAATGTTTACTCTACACAATGTGAGAAATATGTTTTAAATAAAACCACATCATTCATAACTTGCGGATATAAAGATCCAACATTATTTCGTGAGGGAGGATAGTGTTGAAAAATCTGTGGTTCGAATTCTAGATATAATTGATTTGAGTACAAAACCGACATGCTGATTGTATACAATTCAAGGTGAGTCTGTTCCGATTTCGTTTGTTAATTCCAATACTAATGAGCACATTCTAGATACTACAACGTTTTTATACAACACATTAACAGACAGACTCAGGATGAACTTAACAAGAAGACGTAAAACCGATTACAAACACTTATATTTCTATTTGAGCTTTGGCGGATGTGGTGTTTGAACGAACTAATAATACCCTTGTACTCACTAAATGCTTGATTCCGAATTCCGAATGCAATACATTCGTTTGTGCTTGTGTCTCACTTCTTAATTCAACTGCGTTATTTCTGAGACTCTCAGTTCGTACTATAATTCAAATAATTCGAAACATTATACATACTCAAAACATTATGTGTAGTTTATCATTATGACCATAGACAAAGTCTCATTGTCAATACACATGAAACATTTCGATTAGCTCATTCTAAAACCATCTGAGTTATCCATGATGCTTCCATAGATTAATATAATGATAACGTATAATTAGGTAGTTTTATAAGAAAACCATCACTAGACTCATTTTAAATAAGATGGTAATGGTTACAGTGTTCATTCACAGCTGAAACTGGACCTTCTATGAAATGGCATGCAAACTATTTTTAGCTTTCACTTCATTTTGTTTTCACAAAAGTAGTACCATTTTTTATAATGAATATTTCATTGATCTGTGTTCCGTGTGCGTAGGTGACTGTCGGTCATATGAAATTATTATTAGAAAGCAACATTGTTTGTGCCGACTACGATCCATATTAGTCTGCTTATACAAAAGAGTATACCAAAATATTTGATTGATCAGTAAGATTGTGGGGATAAACAAAAATTATTATTTCTGTGATAAGAACTGAACTGAATTGCCTAGCTACAGTCTTCATTTTGAACAGTTTTAAGAGGAAAACAGAAGCACATGTAGAGTTCAGGTCAAACAAATAGGGTTCGTTGGGAATAATAAGCTCCTGACATTTTCTGGATGACTTCAACTATTCTCTTAAGTAGCGAAACAGAATATGGTATAGAGTAAAGTAGAGATGCAAAAGATGAGTATCCACGTGACCAGAATAAGCAAGACAAAATGCGAAGAAGTGAAACAACGAACCATGGATGATTGATATTGTGAAATAAAAATCACTTATTAAGACTGTCCTATTCAATTTTGTCATGATTACATAAACTGTTGGAAGATACTTGACATGGCTGAAAGTGCAAGTTGACTTTTGAGACTTTCCTGAAGGCGTTCCTTGCCATAGGAAACAGTTGGAAACGCTGAATAAAAAAAGGTTTTCAAGGATTTGAAAAGTCTATTTTTTAAAATACCAGAGCGAAGTCTTCCTTGAATTTCATGTTCGAGTGTCTAAAATAAATTAATCTCATCTTTGCTTCTTCGCGATGGGTAACATTTATAAATAAGTAATTCAGTAATACATGTGAACTTATAGGGACTGTTCAGCTTGTTCATCTGGCCAATTTTCTTGATAAAATTGAGATCAAGTACAGTCGAATAATAATCTAGAATTTATCACCTGATATTGCAATGAACATTATACGTCATGTCAAATCACATCCATCCACACCTAATACTTTTTTTATTTTTCATAATTGTCGAAACTGGTCATCATTGTAATTGAGAGCTGTTTTGGGTTCGATATTGAAATATGCACATATTAGTAATAAATACGAATAATTTGTTGGTCTCCATTGAAGATTTAGTGAAGAAGAAATAAGTATTTGGAGACGGAATAATTTTAGTCAGTAATAATAGAAAACACTGACGTACAGTATGTGTAAGGAATATATTGTTTCAATGACTATTTTTGTGAAAACTGCATAGCATTATGCAGACAGTAATGAATGTACGTAGTGTAATATATAACCCATGAAATATGACAACCTTTTGCACTGTCATCATGAAAATTACATTTAGAATTTTGGATATTGACTTATTATTATGATTATGATTAATGACTTCATTCAATATTATGTGTTTGATACCATATAGAATTTTCAGCACATGTTAAATCAGTATGTTTCTTTTGTTGATAAAACAGAGATAACAATTAAAAGTGCTGATAGCTGCATACATAAGATGGGCAGATAAACTACTTGTAATTGAATGAAATGTCTCATTGAAAAGATAAGAATCTGTACGATCTGAAATATGTGCTCATCTACGACAAAATGTTCGTCACGGAATATATATTCGAGATAAGGTATTGTACACCTTTCGTGCTTTTAATGGTATACATGGACTCTAGTCGGTTAACACCTCGTTCTTCTAGAATATATACAAAAAAATGAATGGAATAAATGGCTAATATGTAATAACATATCACCCGTCAGCGTTCATCAAGACATTAGTTGTTTACGCATAACCAATTTATTACTGACTTTAGAAGATCCACCACACATATATGAAGGAATCGACAAATTATAAGAATTGGTGTCTCGTAACTCTAAAAGCATGTAGCCTATTTATGTAGTTAATCATATTGCGTACTTCCAACAGATTTGCAAATAACAATATGCAAAATAAACAAGTAGGTGTAAGGATACATCCTACATGATACTTTATAATCCTAATCATCCTCTTCATCAGACCAACAACTAATTTACATTAAAACATACACATAAACGTTTTCTTCTCATAATTAGACATTGATCAACGGCACAGAATTGGAAAAGTAACGTGAGAAACAATTATGATGTTGGCGAATTAATGAAATTATGCAACAACTGCTTACTTGATTACAGACTATGATAGTCGAGGAAATAACCGTTTGGTTTTTGTCGACATCTTTTTTTAATTTAAAAAGCTATACGTTTACTGTATCAAGAGGAAAACTAGTTTTAAATACCACGCAAATACAAAGATTCTTGATTTATTTCACTAAAATTGTTATTCGCTTACCAAATTGTAGACTTACATCCATCCATCCCATTTTCAAGGTTTAGTATGCATGACAGATAACAATTAATACAACATCAAATGATGCATAGAAATAATTCGTCGAAATACAAAAATAGAAATCAGTCTTCTTCTTCTTCTTCTACTTCTTAAGTGTTGGGAATTTTATTATGTTTCACATACATTGATCACTGTTGTATTTATATATCTGTGTCTAGATCAACAAACATTTCACTCGTATAGTGTGGCGTGCTACTTATATTGACATCAGTAGTATATAACACCAGTCAGGAACGTAAAGTCTGGTAGCACAAAATTGGGAAGAACAAGAAAGGAAGAACAGGAATAGAAAGTGATTAGTATGGGAATGTAAGAACAATGATGTCCGAGACAATTATTGAACATTTTGCAAATTAAGTATCATAGCATGGTTTTTCTATTTTACCAAGTAACTCTGTAACTGTTTGCTAAGTATAGCTCGGTTGTCCTCACCTGTGTTCTCCTTCACTTCAGTATAATATGATGGACAAACGGAATGAATGTGTCTTTCTTCAGATGTTTGAATTTCATATTAATCATTGATGAAATCGCCTGACAGACTTTTGTATTAAAATAAAATAAAAATGTGAAAGTGTACATTTTGACTTTCAATCAAACGTTTTCGCTACTTTGCATCGGCACTGGACCATAACGACACAATCCTCAAAGCTGAACACGAGACTACTCGGAAAATAGATATTCAATATTTAACGACGATAAATACCTGACGATGCAGAAGGCGGTAACAAGGATTTTAATTAATTCTAGTTGATCGAATGACATGGCTCGGATTTTCAAACGTGTTCCTTGTTGAATGTTATATTATTTATTCGTATTAAAAATATCATTCTGTCTCTGGTCTAAGCTTGTTCTACATCATGTGTTGATGATTGTTTCGATATGATGATTTGGTCCAGACGATGGTATGATTTCTACGTAAGATCTTATAGATCAGGCAGCTATATCATGATAAGTCTACAAATTTAGGATTACATCTATTATTAGCGCAGTACTAGTATCATAGTACACCATGATTCTACAACTTTGATTTTAGTCAATGAAATTAAATGAACGCATCATTGATAAATAAATTCACAGAGAATTACAACAGACTGCTTTTTTTGTGAACATATGAGCACATATTTTGTACTACAAGATAATCAATTTATTTTTTTTTCATATCACAATAAGGCCCCATCAAAGGGAGTCAATATTTTTAACCAACAGTGGATAAATACCAGCTCATGTTGTCAACAGTCAGAACAATATTGAATGATTATGTATGAATTGATTCATCATTAAGATTGGTTAACAATGAACATATGACTTTATCAAATTCCATCTTCCTAATGGTCAATTTGAATCATCCAATTAAAAGGTTACAAATAGCTACTTCAAAAGTCTATATAAGCCAGACAAATTTCAATTTAATTTGATTTACATCCTTCAAGGAGATAATGAGGTGAGTGTTGGCTGAACACACGATGTAAATGACTGTTTCATCTTAACTGAAATTCGATTCAATGACTTACTGTTGCTTTGTTCATTTGAATCATTTTAGATACAATTTTTCATTTGGTCTTTCGATATCATTTTATTTGTTCATCGTTTTGCTTCACAACTTCCTCGACTGTCAAGATCACTGTGAACAATTGCTTGATGATAAAGTAGTTCATGAAAACGGTTCATATAAATATGTATGTAATCAGTCTGTTTCTAATACACATATTCAGTCTTATAATAATTATTATGCACAGAGGATTCGCCTTAATCAATCTCATCCAGTTGTAAATGGCAGTTTTACAAATCTGTTTGAATTTGAAGTGAGTTGACCAAATTTTGTAACGAAGGTGTTTATCCTAATAATTCTATATTTGCAGACGGTTTTCTCATTATTCAAATTTAAATATTACGGTATTGATCCCGATCATTTTATTGCCTATTCTAAAGGTAAGTGAATAATTTTTTTGAACCACAGTTTTTTACCGTTTTCTTGATCACATTTCATGCTACGAAGCACAGTTGATTCAATACCTTTTATATATCAGTTTTATGAAACTTCAGTTAATCTGTTTTCATGTTCAACTCGTCAATAGTATGAGGCCTTGAAACAATCCAGATATAGTTCATGCAATTCATTTTAGTCTTTTGTTTGCTTTAAAATATTTTATTCACTCAATGTGAAATTATGTTTTTATTAAATAAACACAGGTGAAATAGTAATACGCAAAAACGGGGACTTCGGAACAATTTCGAATCGTATAGCAAACATTGTATATACCGAATTACAGCTTTTGCAAGAGTGTAAGTTCATACATTATTCACTATATGTTTTTCTGCTTTTCTTGCTCACACTGATTATGCAGAAATGATCCAGCATTTTACTTGATTTATACACAGCAGTTGACCAGTACTCAGTGATTGTTTTGTTTGTGTAATTGTTGTATGAGAACACGTATGTCACAACACGTATGGATTACTGTCAAGTGAGAATAATAAATAAAACAATGATTCACCTCAAGTTAAACGTACAATGACTGAGTGTCGGTGATAAACCAATTTATTCAGAACAAGACTATCTACTCAGACAAGAACACCTAGAACATCAAGTTAACATACATTTATCTCGGTCATTAATCAGAATTGATGAATAACAGAATCTCAGAAAATGGTTTTCCATGTGAATTGTTGAAGGCCTCTTACCCACTCTTCTGAGTTGATTGTTTTAAAACATTCTTATATATGGTTGAAACGATAATTTTTTTCGAAACTTTCTCATAAACGATGATTAAACCGTTAAATTAAAATTTCGGAATGAAGTTGATAGCTTGGGTGCAAAGGCTTTCCGTGTTGACAGATATATTTAGTTTAACAAATAGATGTTCATTATGCAGATATTCAAACAAATATTTTGATTTTCATTATTTTAGATCAATACATCGCAGTCAGAATGCTTTATCGAGAAAGAAACAAAAGCGCACGTGAGTAGAAGATGAGTGATCGTCGAATCACATGTAAAATCTTGACAGTCACACCTTCACTCATCGTGACTACTCACAGTTTGACTCAACTTCATTAAGATATGGAAATAGTATTAATTTGTTACTTTTGAAGAAAATTAGAGTAGAATTATATGCCGAATCGACTCACCATTTGATTATGTTGATTAAGACTTGAAGAACAGATGGCATGAACTTGATAATAGTAGATTTGAAGAGTAATAAGTAGATCACCATGGATAATATGTTAACGTTTTTATTTTTTCTTGTCGAAAAATGAATACAGTGATTTATTTTCATTTACAAGCTACAGTGTAACCTGACGAGGTGTATGATTTTCAAAATAAATGAACTGTGTTCGTCACGAAGCCACTTTGTTACACAACACATTCATCTACACATCCATCCATTGTATAGCTATCTACAAATATTATTTGTTCAGATTAAGAAGTTGTTAACACGCTATATATGAAGCCACTAGTTTCTTATAAACAACAAACAAACTTTATGGTTGGTGTCAGTTGATCGATTGAAGCTTCCTTAATCTAAGGAACCAAATAAATTCTTGAGTTCCATTTAAAACTAACACTTCATACCACAGGTCATGTTTTCTAAGAGTTGACTGTTACAAGAGGCATTAAAGAAAATATTAATATAATGTGACTACCTCTCCGACTATCAGATCCTATTGGAAAACCTAATGGTTTGTTGTTTCAATGACAATACGACAGTAATACAGCTTAAGTAACCAGGCGTTATACATTAGTTTCCAAGGTTGCATGCTCATTTCATTCACATGTCACTCACTTCACTGTATTTATTACAAATTCAACTGAAGGAAGCATTTGAAATAACATGGCAAATATCCAATGAAATCTGATTATTATGTGAGCTGTCATATACAGTGTTACATCTAACAATTAATTGCTTATTATTTTCCACTTGTATTCTAATATCGATAGTCTTTTAATTAAAGGGATTGTAGCCAACATAACCAGTTTGATATATCCGAGTGGGAAAATATCTATCTATTATGAAAAAGTAAGTTCCTCAATTGAATTGATATACAGCTCCATGTAAACTACTTTATATTATTCCAATATTTCATGTTTTATAGTACTGCTAAGTTACGTTGAACATGACCCATCGAGATCAGCATTATGTAATGTGCAAACAGACAAGTTGTCATTATTATTAATCCCTTTCAATGACACGCTTTATCCAAGCAGTTGGTAAAAACAGTGAATATTTAAAAGTGAACTGTTATCAAACTAAACAAAGATGCATTCATGCAAATTCGCAACAAACAGTGTATGTTAGAGTACTTTACAGTAAAGCTCATGTTATTTAAGCTTTATTTCATCATCTGTTTGAAACGTTTGCCGTTGAATATTTTGAATGCGGAATCCTTGTATTTATCCACAATCACATTTAATTTATACAGACCTAGACAGACAGTTCATCAATTTTCACTGAGTTCGGAATATTCATGCATGCTAGACACATAAGAATTCTGAGGAGAGAATATCATAAGTGTGATCATTTGTCTGTGAATAAGATAATCAGAGTGATTAAACATTTCTCCAATGATTATTCGGCTTTGTTTTCGATGGTTGTGTGTTACTTAATTTTGACTATAACTTCCAATACTTTATTTCAGATTCCTGTGGAAATTGAGGAAAGCAAACGACAATCGAAAATCAGCTGTAAATTTGCGTGTGTATCAAGTAAGAAACATTTCAACAAATGTTGTTAACATTTTGATGTACGGTGACTTGCTTCATCGTTTATCTGTGCATGATATGTTCCTTTTTTTTGTACCCGGAGAAAACCATGACAACACGGATTAAGCCATTATTCTCTCAGAGCGATCTTATGTAATTTACTTACAGTTTAAATTATTCAGGTCACAAAAATGACTTGTCTTTTTAAAGTAATTTGGTCATTGTGTTATCTCAGCTTTCTGTGCTAAATTCCATGGATAATGGTTTTCACGATATACACATTCTGACGCTCACTTGACTACATGTCTCGAACAAAACAAGTAAGTTGTTCGAATGATTTTATCGTAAATGTTTCGGTGGCTATTTGGAGACGTCTCACACTTATGGTAGGGACGTACAGAACACGAGAGTGACGATATGAAGCTGACTATATTTTCATTCATTTTTTTCAAAAATATAAAACTACGATGTTACCTAAACTCACAAGCATTGTGCGCACAAATAGACGTGACTATCAGTAGAATCAATTAAAGTCCGAAATATCAATTCAAGGACTAAATCAACAAACTACAAAAGTGAATCAAAACTTTCCTCGACTGCACAAATCATTGTATATCTGTACTGAGTAGCTAAGTGTTTGACGGAACGGCGTTTGGAGCAAAATTTGCCGGGTACAAATACCAGAGTGTACATCTACTCTGAAGTGCAAGTTTATCCAGCTGATGAAATGCGAGTCTGCATCTGCAATGCGAGCCACCTATCTTTTCTGGTTTGTGAATTTCTATGTTGCCTCTTTCGTATTAGAAGTGTGAAGTAATATGTAACAAGTGAAACACACATTTGCAGATGTTGCACTAGTTTCCTCGTAAAATTATTCAAAAATTTGTCGATTTCATTTTTCACTAACTGGTTGAATATTATTGATTTTCGAAACTCAGATCGATGTTACCCATAATATTTGGGGATATCGGTTGATAAGCGTTATTGTTTTCAGTTTCTTATTTTGACTGCTCCTTAAATGATTTATCACACAAGATAAAAAAGAACATGAAATAGTTGTTCCTGGAAAGTGGATCAAATCTGGCACGTTGGTGGAGTATGAAGTCGTTGGAAGTATGTTAAACATTATTTGGCCAGTCTAAACTATTTTCACGCTTGAATGAATCACTTTTGTCTCGTGAAATTAAAAATTCCAGGTGCAAATGTAGTAAGCTAATAAATGATATCCAGGCCTTTGATTCAATCGACGTCTCACTTACCATCAACCACTACATGTCCATTCACTGTTGAATAGTAAAATTGATTAGAGGTCCTTTTTAAATAAATAATGAAGTCTTCATTTTGATGAAAAACTTAAATAAATAGTCAAGAAACGATGGGTGATATGATAATTGTCTCCATAAAGATTGTGTCAGTTAGTTGACTGTGCATTGACGAGCAAGCGTACTATTTTTCCAATACATGAGAAATCGAATTATTTTGAGACTTATGAATTGCGATCAAACTACATGTATTTGAGATTACTTCCAAAATGATTGCCTTATTTCGGAAATAATCACTTGACCATACATATTCGATAAAATACATGTATAGACGAGTCACTTTTCCAGGTTACAAATTTTCATAGGCAGTTTCAGAATTAATGACAAAATTCACGGTATAGAAATGCGTCCTTTCTCATGAATGTGAACACTAAGTAACTAAAACAGATTTAATTTCATCATGTGTGAGACTATTAAAATATCATTTTGACAATCAAATGACTTATTCTATAATCTAATGAAAAGATCACTTTATAATTCGTCAAACACAATGATAATTTTATCATCGATGAAATTCCACTGATCCAACTGGCCTGCTGCGTTAACTGACAGTCCAGAAAAAACAGCCATGCACTCCCATATCTTCTAACAAAGTAGGTCAACTAGAACCTGTTCAAGAAAGACATCACTGATGTCGCTTAACTCAGAAATCCACAAATATCATTGAGTTATCGTTACATGTTTTGTAATTCACTTACCTTTTGTTTGGTAATTTAAATAAAAAACACCTTATTCTTCCCATAGAAATTTGTTCAACGTACAATTCGCAGAAAGCATGCGAAAACTCAACAAGGTCGAATGTAGCTTGTATTTGGTGTGAAAGAATCAACGTATGCATAGATAGTAATGATCAAGATACTCATGACTTGAAAATAAATGATTGCCGTATCGAGGTTAGTGCTTGTTAATATTCACATATCGTTTTCAATATCACCGAATTTCAAATACTGAATAGATGCATTTACTCGAAAAAATATATTGTTGCTATAGATAACATACAACGTGATTATGAGACTTATTTTCCATGGAAACATTAAACATGGGATCGAAGCGTCGCTTGCTATCAGTCATTGAAATCACAAATATTTTTTCAGATCATCGAATGCCCAGTTTTTTCAGAAATCCAACATGAAAGCATATACATCTGCGGATTAAAAAAAATACAGAAGAAACTATTTTGAGTGAAGAAGTGTAATCTGCTGTACATTGTTATCATAATTTGATAATTAGTGAGAGTACGTACATCCATATTGTTGAAGCCCATGACAAGAGTTTCTGATCCTTTGTTGTGAAATATGTCATCTGATTGGATTGCTTTATAATATTTGATGTTTTGTAATGTATGCTACTGTCTCGTGTATTCAGAAGGGCTCTGATATCAGCGATCCGAGTAAGCCAACCCACATCAATCACAATGAAACGACAATGAGGATCATTGAATGTCAGTCTACAGAAAACTTGAAGTAAACTACCATAGAATCTAACCAGTGCTCTGTAAATATTTGATATTCAGTAATAAATACTACTGTTTTGTTTTTCATTAGAATATAAACACCGATGTTCACGAAGAAACTAAACAGAACAAATCATCTCGGTGCCTATATGTCGCCATAACTCTGGTCATCTCTTTCTTCGTTCTATTTTATGGTTGTCTTATTTGGATATGGTTTCGTAGAAGACAAAGATATAGTGAATGATTCCAAGTAGCGTCTAATAATTTATTCTCATTATTCTGACTAAGATTTTCTTCTACTTCGTATCTCACTAGAAGACTTTAGATTTAATTCTTTATTCCAATAACGAGGAGAATTTCTTTATGAAACTGTTTACTTTCTAATGCTTATTTACGTAATCACTGATGTAATCTCGTTCATAAGGTAACAAATGAAAGTTACAATTTTAGCTTTATTGTGTGTTCATTAAATAGAAACTGCAATTTTTTGTGAGTGGTCGACGACGTTTTCTTTGTAAATTAGTATTTTCGTGTATACGTGATTTTGCAATAACTGTAATCAATCATAATTCCGTTGTGTATGTCTATTCTGATGAAGTCTCAGTAATGGAAAATGTCATTTGGGATCAAACGTGATCATTGTTTTAAAATAAACTGTCGGAAATATTATCAAAACATAATCAGGGCACTTTCACCCTTGTTTACATAATTGATCACTGGTATGTAACTGCTGAGTGGAAAACTGTTATAAACCTGATGAAATCCAGACTAATGGTGAATCTTTTCATGATTTCGTGTTGATTTGAGCAAAACATTTTCAAAGTTGACAAAGTGTTTCACATAATTCATCATTTCTTTTGAACATAATCGGTTGTTGCCTTATTTCCATTCTCAGTACAAATAAACCAGATATGCTCATCATTTTTTCCTTGATTTTCTACTCAAACATGCCGAAAACGAGACTGATCGTTAGTCCTTTGATATTTAAATAGTGAGAATTTCAAATTTCCATGAGACGTCGTTAGCAGTGGAGTTCAACCAGATCTGTTGTGAGATAGGTTCTCACTGAAGACAATGGTGTACGGTGGCACAACTTCGTGGATTGGTTCAAGTCAGACATATGTGTCATATGTGGCAGATATCTCAGTATACGGAATAATGCAAATTTCTTTGTCATCACTCATGTTCTCGAACTGTCAAATACCCTTCACTAATTATCAATCTGTTGTGAACTGAATCTTTCTTTACACAACCATTTATCGAAATTGTATTGAAATGATTTTCGCTTTTAAACTAAAGCTTGAATACCAATAAATGCCACTTACAAATGTGAATATAAGAAATAAGCATCAAACAAATGACTAATAGCAGAAGAGAGGTGATTTTGGAATTAGGTGTGTGAAAAGCTTCGAGATGTATTGTAATGTGGCCTATCATGTTTTGACACGTTCTGGTCCTTGCACAGGAGTTTTTGTAGCATTTTTAAGAATCACAACTTGAATTTGACTGAGCCGAAAGTATACTGAAAATTATTTGATTTTGAAACCAGTGTCGAAACTGTTATTGAGTCTTCATTAAACGAATATAGTCTCACTTGCATTAGGTCTGATCACACTTATTGTCTAGAATCATTCGGTTCAAAGGGATGACTTTATGTCATAAAAGTTTGCTATTGGTTATTGTCTCAGTTTGTTTAGAAAAGTGATAAACATCTTCTGAATGTCTGTATCTCAAATTTAGTTGATAACATTATCCAACTCAATTCAGTCCAAGTAATTACATGGAATATCCAACATGAGGAAGAAATCTTCTGTTGTCAAAATGTCACTTACACCTAAATTCTGACAATTGATAGGACTTATTTCTGATAAACACGTTCTTTGGATTAATCTCTGCACATACATATCGGGGAGGCCAACAAAATTTGGTCGATCCATCAATAAACATGAAGTGAGCTAACGTGATAGAAATTCTATGTTTTCCATAATAAACTAACCTATTCTATGGTTGAATCCACAATTACCTTAAAACAAATCTTCAAGTACTTATAACATGTATAAATCCCATCAATGGACCCACACCAAACAAATGACTTTAAGGGAATTCGTCGTCCAATTCAAATTTCTATTATTATCAATTAACATAGAACCACTTCATTGTGTTTCTACATTTTAGAACAAACTGTGCTTCTGTGTTTTCTTCAGAATAAACGAATCATTCATCTGTGATATTCTATTCGTTTCTTTGTGAGATACCCCATCAATGATCACAACGATGAATGATATGAATGATATGCCTACCAAGCATTTTCATGTAATCAGAAATTCCTCGTTCATCTATCCTTGAAGTATGACATGAGGGTCATATATGGAAATCTGCTGTGTCAATTTCCTCACTACAATCTTCAACTGTACAGTAGTAGTATAAATGAAAGTATGGTGCAAGACTAAAAGTAATTGATTTGATTATTCATCTTTGTTTCGTGCTAAAAATTAGACTTCTGCAAAGTAATATCGTTCATTTAGTGATTTATTTACTGAGTAGCAATGGCTTTAAGTGATTCACGAAACATCAAAAATCCAAATATCTACTAGTCACAATATCACAAATGTATTTTACTTTTATTCGGTTTGACAGTCGTTATCTAGAGTCAGTTTACTTCCATGTGTGAAAAACATTAGTATCAGTGACAAAGAAGATATGAAACACAAGTAACAACGTTAGCTCAGTTGAATTATTGACTGCTCAAAAATAATACATGACTAATGATAATGCTGATCCACCAGGGTTCTTGGTACCTGTGTGGTTGCGCCACAGGATTGAGTTGTACTATTCAGATTATAGCGTTAAAGCCTGTACGGTTTATGGTTCCCCTGCTAAACTGGGTTGAGCTATACTGTTCGGGTTTTTACGTGAAAGTCCGGATGTAGTCTGGTTCTCCTGAAAACCAACGTAAAATTACCCAGGCCCACAAGGGTATATTATATTACTGTGTGAATGATAAAGCGGTAGACACTATAATATGGATATGCAGAGCATCAAATTAGAAAAAAACTTAAGAGAATATGTTAAAGTTAATCGTAATCAGTAACCGTTAGAGAATCTAAAGTCTTTGTAGGCAGTACAAAATTCTTCGATAATCTTTTTTGAAATAATGACCGTTTAAGATATTCTTAAAGATTCCTTTTGTGAAAATTAGAACAACACATTCATTCTCAGTACAAATGAATCAGATATGCTCACCATTTTCTCCTTGATTTTGCATTCAAAGTTACTGGACAACAAGAGTTATCGTTAGTTCTTTGATAATTAAATAGTGAGTATTTCAAATTCCAGTGAGGATTCGTTTCCAGTGGAGTTCGACCAGGTCTGTTGTGAGATAGGAACTCACTGAAGACAATGGTGTACGGTGGCGCAACTTCGTTGATTGGTTGAAGTTAGACATTAACACCGTTGGATGCCGGCCCAGTGATCTAATGTATAAGTGCTCGCGCGCGAAATCAGAAAGTCCTCAGATCGGATCCCGCGAGGTACGAGGTCGTGAATGCTCACTGCTGAGGATTCCCATACCGGGAGAAAACGGCCGTCTAGTGCTTCTAGGTTTTCTTTGGTGGTCTAGCTTCAAGTAACTCATGATTTCAACTTCTGATATTTCAAATTCCACTAATAGTGATTATTGCTCAAAACATTAATCGAGATTTCATATAAAATAAAAGAGAATGACATATTGTGTACGCATATGTGGCAGATATCTCAGTATACGGAATAATGCAAATTTCTTTGTCATCACTCATGTTCTCGAACTGTCAAATACCCTTCACTAATTATCAATCTGTTGTGAACTGAATCTTCCCTTACACAACCATTTGTCGAAATTGTAGTGAAATGATTTTCGCTTTTAAACTAAAGCTTGAATACCAATAAATGCCACTTACAAATGTGAATATAAGAAATAAGCATCAAACAAATGACTAATAGCAGAAGAGAGGTGATTTTGGAATTAGGTGTGTGAAAAGCTTCGAGATGTATTGTGTTGTGGCCCATCATATTTTGACACGTTCTGGTCCTTGCACAGGAGTTTTTTGTAGCATTTTTAGGAATCACAACTTGAATTTGACTGAGCCGAAAGTATACTGAAAATTATTGGATTTTGAAACCAGTATCGAAATTGTTATTGAGTATTCATTGAACGATTATAGACTCACCTACATTAGATCTAATCACTCTTATCGTCGAGAAGCATTCCGTACAATGGGATGATTTTATGTCATAAACGTTTGCTATTGGTTATTGTCTCAGTTTGTTTAGAAAAGTGATAAACATCTTCTGAATGTCTGCATATATGTATCGAGGAGATCAACAAAGATTGGTCGATCCATCTATAACCATGATGTGAGTAGACGTGATGGAAATACTAGTTTTACCACAGTAAATTAATCTATTCCACGGTTGAATCCACAATTACCTTACAACAAATCTTCAAGTAGTTATAACAATGCCACTCACATTTTCTATTATGTGCAACAACGACTTTCAGGTTATACAGCGTTTACTGCTTAATAACTTCATATTGAAACTCACAACTTTGGAATGCACACTAGTTTCTGAATGAAATTTAGTCGAAATGAACCACATTTTTATTGATCAGAGCACTTTTCGTGTTGTTTTCACCAAACCGTTAAGCTATTCCTTGAATCCAGACTGAGTAAAGAATATCCAGGCCCACGTTTTCTATTTTCGTGAAACAGAAGATGAACGTGGAACAGAATCTATGATATACGTTCTGGATGAGTTCACAATTATTAACGCAAAAACAGTATTGTTAGTAGCGCAAATGAATAGGTCGGAAAAGAAATGGACACTTCAACGGATGTTTCACCTACTGCACTGTCACATACACTTGTGCTACTGTGAACAACATCATTGTTTACGGATTTCAAAATGCTCTTATAACTTTAGTGCACGTCATCATATGATATTTATATTACGGCGGTACTCAATACAATACCAGTGGAGGTCACTCACGTGATGAATACTTCATAACAACACTAACGACGTTCTGTTTGTCACACTGAGTTCACACTCTCAGTAAAATAATAATAGTATATCTAACACAGGTTCATGTCGGGATATCATCTCATTATCTGCACAAGTACACAACTAATTTGAAAATAATGACCATTGAAAGGATGTTACTTCTCACCCCATAAAGCTTTCTAATAACATTTCCTTAAAATATAGACAATGCAAACATTAACATTTGCTACGATGTTCAGATTTGGGCATACTGGTTGCGGCCAACGGTTTTGTAGTTGCCATAGATATACAACTTACTGAATCACCAGTTCGTTCCCAAAAATATTTGCACACTTAAAAGGACATTCAACTATGACGTCTAACGAAATATGATAATTCCTGATGAAACACATAGAAAATGAATCTAAATTAGCTGCACAAAAGACTACGAAGTTCAATCACTAATTACTGATGACTTGAAAGTGTAAAATAAACTTCGTCCTCTCGGTCAATGTGTTGAAGCACCTAAAAATACACATATACTATGAATTTTAAGTAGTGACTGTAGAACAACCTCAATGCTCGTCAGCAGTAATCATGTGAATACTTATACAAACCATAATAAACTCAGTTTCAGATACAGACACATTAGTAATCAATTCAGAAAATCTATATCATTCACTAATCGATATACTAGTAGAATCACTATATATTTTGACGTCGCTTCAAAGCCTTTTTTCATCTAAACGCGTTCCGATATATAAAAGATTCACTTGTTCTTCGATTCCATTGTATGAATACAGTCGAATGTTCACCACAACTTAACATAGAAAAAGTCGTATTTCATGTCCAGTAATTTTCATGTGACTATTGAATGCGAATTGACACAAAATCAGATGATCCATTTGCAAACTACAAAACGAAACTCCAGACCTAGATGATGTGATCTCGATTTTTTCATTTTGCTTGAAGTTTCTCAGTCTGTCTTCACAAAATGGCCGCTTTAGTCCCTTGTCGTTGGATTCATTCCATCATATCGGCCTCTTACTTGTAACAAACACTCTCTGCTGAAATCCCATATTCCAAATGCTGTCGCGCGAATGTTGACCATAATAATCTAAAAATATCTTTATCCAAATACTAAAAATGTTTATAAATAGACAGTTCTATTTTCATAATGAC